TACACAGACGATAGTTAATGATATCAAATTTAAGGAAGGTAGAGTAAAAGCAAAAAGTCAGTTATGTATTTTAATTATTTATTTGTTTTCTCAACATGTAAAAAAATAAAATAGAATAAAATAATATTGTTTATTTGTCATTAATAATGTTATTGCTATTGTTGTTGTTATTGCTTGTAATTTCTTCATTGAAATTGTTCCAAAGCATTGAAATCTTTTCAAAATCTTTTCCAACTGATGTAATATTTTCAAGGTTTTTATTCAAGGTGGAAAGGTTCGCGTTTGTTTTTTCTAAGCCCTGTTTTTTAAAAAAATAAATAAATAAATATAGTGCGTCCAATAAAGATTTACTAATCTTCATATATTCATTGATAATAAATTTCACCTGAAGAAAAGTTTTAATCAAAGCTGCTCTCTGTTTCTCAAAACTTAAATTTTCTGAGGTTTCCATTTTACAAAAGATTTTTTATTTTTGTTGATCAAAACAAATCCAAATTTAATCTGGAAAATTAAATTTAAAAAATTCTCTGTTACATTTGTTGTTCAGGCCCATTAGATTGCAAAAATGAAGTCTATTCCCCTAAATCACCTGTTGGATGTTGCTTCAAGAGAATATTTCTTTGATCTTTTTATCCAATACATGATTCTTGTAAATTAAAATTATTTTGGTTCAAATAATATGTAAAATTCATAGGGTGACCAAGATGTAGCACAATTTATTATACTGTATTCATGATTTTCGGCCTCTGCTTGTTTCCAACATAGTGATGAGAAAACCGGCTATGTAATGTTTTCAAGTAAGAATCCGAATGAGTCAGCGGAATTCAAATTGAATAATGATCTACTACTTATAACTGAATTTAAAATATTTTAAATTTAAAATTGTATTATTATTATATATTTCATTTATAATATCAACTCAAAAAAAAATAAGTGAATCGTTTGACAAAAGCTCTTTTACCATTAATTATTCAAAAGTCACCAAGTAAACACTAAGTAAAAGTTGTCCTAATGTGTTTCAAACTCGGGTAAAAGCTTTTGTTTGTCCCCGTCACGATTTCATTATGATTCGCAAATTCGAATCAAATCGGATCGAGTTACATTCACGAATCGAATAATTCAGAGTCTTACTTTCAATTTTATATTAAAACGATTAATTACAACAATAACTCATGAGGTAACTTATATTTATTTATTCTTTTTTAAACAAATTTTCACAGACATTATCATGTTCTGGCACAATTGTTGAATAAATGAATTATGGGACAACTGTGAAAGTTGACGTTTGTTTTCTCCCGATATATAATTTTTCTTTAATGTTCTCTTCTTTATCTATATTATTACTCTCTCATTTTGCAAATTTTTTCTTTCTGAATATTTCACCTCGCTTCAGTTTGCGTCAACTTTATCACAGCTTTTGAAAATATGTGATCCAAATTGTATTGATTTTATTAATAATTTGAATGGACACTAAAATGGCTTTTTTTAAAAATTGATTGAATGTTGTGCATTCCTTTGATTTCTCATCTTCTTTGAACAAGTGGCATAACTTTCAAATCACTTTTATCGTTGTCACATATTGCAAAAGAACCGGAGGAAGTGCTGTTCTTATTTAACAATTTATTATAGTAATAGCAGATGATGATTCAATAACATTGTTATTTCTTACAGCACTGGAAATGATGGCGACAAAACAGAAACGGTATAAATGGACATAATAGCAGCAGCAGAGTCAGAGGTAGAGAAAGATAGAGGCAATAATAATAGGCAAAACAGCTGATTTATGAGTGTAGCTTCAATTTTTTGGAAATTGTACCTCAGGATATTCATAAAATGTAAAATTTGGACAATTAGAGGATTCTGCATAATAATAATAATAATATTTGGAACAATTTTGTTATTAAATATTTTATTACACTATTTTATACAGACCCCAACACCCCATATTTTTGACCAAGTTCTTTATATGTGAATGATGGATTTCTTTCATTAAATTCACAAAATT